TTGTTTGTTTGTTTTGAGACAAGGTGTTGCTCTGTCACCCATGCTGGAGTGCAGTAGCTCGTTCTAGGCTCACTATAGCCTCCAACTCCTGGGCTCATGTGATCTTTCCGCTTCAGCCTCCTGGGTAGCTGGGACTACAGGCGGACACCATGACACCCAGCTAATTTTTTGTACTTTTGGAGAGATGAGGTTTTGTCGTGTTGCCCAGGCTGGTCTTGGACTCCTGGCCTCAGGCTTTCCTCCTGCCTTGGCCTCCCAAAGTGCTGGGATTACATGTGCATGAGCTATCACGCCTGGCCAAGGAGTCAAAATTGCACCCGCATTGGGAAGCAGCATGATGTTTGGTTGTGGGACAAGCATGGGCCATGAATCAAATCCAGAAAAATGTAGATTTAGACCCTGACTCTGCTATTCATTTACTGTGGGGTCTTAAGGCAAATTTTTAAGCCTATCTGAGATTCCTTTTCTTCCATCTATAAGATAGGACTAGTAATACTTGTCTAATGGGTTTGTATGAGAACTAAAGTGTGTAATAAGTAGGCACTATAATATGCCTGATGCACAGTACACATTCAATAAATAGTAGTTAGTCTGATACAATATAAATTAAGCAATTACCAAGTAATGCAAGACAGGATTCAATCAAGTGTAAAGTGGTGGAGTTGGGATTTGAACCAAGACAGTTTGACTGCAGAATCCATATCCTAATAGCAATGCTATTCCTCTTCCATGACCCCACAGGATGCATTTCACCAAATTCCGTCAAATACAGAATTTCTACCAGGGAAGTAGCCTCCTAGTTTGTCCTCTCTTGCCTAGTTTCACCAACTTCAGTCTTTCCAGTAGATTTATCAAGACACCATTAGATTGATACTATGGAAATATGCTTTCAAATGTCACTGCAAAAACTTTCAATAGTTCCCTGTTTCTGGCAGTTTCTAATTAAAATTCTGCTTTTCTTTTAAGACCTCCAGATAATCTAGCTCCACTCTATCCTTATCTCCCACTACTTGCTACCACTCCCTTCATTCTAGATAGATCATTCTCCTTGATATCCTGGATACACACTTACTCCCACTTTCTTGCCTTTGTTCATTTCCTTCAGCTTCTCTCTACCTAGTCAAACTCCACCGGTTCCAATAGAGCATTCCCTGATTATTCCAATTTATGCTCACCTTTTTCCTCTTCTGAATATCTTTAGTACTTAGAATCTATGCCAATCATCCAGATTCTGACACACACACAGCCTCTACCCCCCCCCAAAAAAAAAAAACCCAGAAAAACTAAGTGTGCACAAAACTCAGTTTTGTAGCCAAGCATGGTGATGCACGTCTGTAATCCCACTACTCAGGAGGCTAAGGCACGAGAATTGCTTGATCCCAGGGGAAGGAGATTGCAGTGAGCCGAGATTGTGCCACTGCACTCCAGCCTGGGTGACACAGCAAGACCCTGTCTCAAAACAGAAACAAAAACAAAAACACCTCAGCTTTCTTCATTCCTTGTTGATGGACATAAATATGGTTTATAGTTTTATATACTATGTGCCTACTATTATCACTTAAAAATATTTTTGAGTATTTGTATTCTCATTATTAGCTGTGTGGTCCTTGGCAGAGTTTCCTATGCTTCCTGAGCTTCAGTTTTCTCATCTATAAAATTAGGATAATTGATGTATACGCTGTAAGACCATAATGTCATAAAGATTAAATGAGATTAGTCCAGTCCCTGATACATGAATGTCATTTACAAAATACTAGCTCTCATTTGCTTTCTCTTTAATGGCCATTTATTATTCTATGGTATTACTACTTGTATTACTAGTTTTCATCAATTTCTTATTGTTGGGCTATTGGGTTGTTTCCAGTTTCACTATTATAGTGAAACTCTTTACTAATCCCTTTTTTCTTTGTGATTATTTTCTTGAAGTCTATTCCCTGTAGTTGAGATAGCAGAGAAAAGGGTATAAAAAGTTTTATGGGCTGGGCGTGGTGGCCCACACCTGTAATCCCAGCACTTTGGGAGGGCAAGGTGGGCTCCCAAAGCTTGAGCTCAGGAGTTTGAGACCAGCCTGGGTAACATGGCCAAACCCCATTTCTACAAAACAAACAATGTGCGCCTGTAGTTCCAGCTACTGGGAGAGGGGGGAGGGAGCACAGCTGAGATGGGGGGATCACTTGAGCCAGGGAGATGGCGGTTGCAGTGAGCTGAGATCATGCCACTGCACTCCAGCCTGGGTGACAAGAGAGCAAGACTACGAACTGAAAAAAAAAAAAAAAGTTTTATGGCTCCTGTCATGCATTGCCTTGTTATCTAATAAGATTGTGCCAATTTCTTACAATGCCGTTATTGTGTAAGAGTATCTGTTTTCCCAGGGCCACCCAGACATTGGGCTTAATAATTTTTAAAATTTTTATGAGTTTTCTAGGTATGTAATGGCACCTTGGAGTTGATTTAATTTGGATTTCTTTAATACATTATAGGGTTGTACACTATGTGATTTAACTTTCAGTTATGTTCTGTCTTGTACATTAAAAAATATTTCATGCATTAATCTTATCTCTCCAACTAGATTGTGTAAGCTGTAAATTGTATAACCTGAAACAAATGACTTAGCTTCTGTGAATTTTATTTCTTATAAAATGAAATGAGGAGGTGATAATCTGTAAGGTTACTTCCATTATTATGGTTCTAATTGCTTCTCTTTCCTCCAACTTGTTTTTTTGTTTTTTGTTTTTTTTTTTTTTTTT